TGACCTGGCCCCTTGTGGAGCGGTGCAGCATCAGAACTGTTGTGCATTTGCAGTTCGCTACAGTAATGAAAGGCTCAAGATCTACAATCTTACAGAGTCAATTTTGTTGACTCAAATGGAGCATCGGGAGCATCAAGTAGATACAAATACAATGAGAGCACGACCGATCTCTACATAGTTAGAATGCATACAGCAATAAAAAGGATTGTCGATAAATAGTAAAATCATATAAGACCAAAACTATGCCTAAACGAAAAAAAACAAAGCGATTAAATCCACGATCGACAAACTACATCAATGACCATATCCGCACCAACCATTTCAGCACAACACAAGGACAATGAGATTTTTCAACAGCGACACTCGAGCGTCGTCGTCACCGGATCCAACCACAAATGGTCAGAGTCTAAGTTTTCACTCTGAAGAACCAATCTAAGCATATCCGAACAATGCCTTCTATAAGGTAACGACGTAAAAACATCATTATTGTCAGATATAACATATTAGGTTAAGACTTGGGTTTTCACACCGGAGCTTGAGACCGGGTACTCATGAAGCACCACCATCGGAGTTAATCATTTTTTCTAGAATAGGAGGTTCAACCCCTGCCTCTGCATCAATCGATGCATGCAGTCATCTTTATTAATTATTTCACAAAGGTTTGACAAGAACATACATCAATCCACCTGAAGCCATCACTCACACCTACAAACTCGATAATGTGGAGTGCTCTCATTCCCCATATCTAAAATCGGTGTCGTCATCGATCCATCCATATAACGTATCAGGACCAACAGCCAGTGTAGCCTACCTAAAGCGCACGCCACATGCACACGTTTTAGAAACCGCCATCATCATCGGACCATTGACCCATCTTCAGGAGAGATATTTGCATCTTCCTTGCCAGTCCGGACATCCGTCGACGCCACCACGGCGCCACCGCCCTGCGTTCATCCGCCCAGACGCGAACACTCTAGAAGATCTGTCGTGCGTAGCACCTGCCAACCAGGCATGACTCAGCGTAGCACCTGTCGGCTAGGCATGACTTGACAGCTCCACCGAAGCTCCGCGCAAGACAAAGCCGCTCCACCTCCTGCCTCTGTCTTCCAACGCTGCTCCACAAACGATGCTGTCAAGAGAGAAATGGCGTTGTAGTACTGCCTGAAGGAAATATGCCCTAGAGGAAATAATAAAGTTATTATTTATTTCCTTATATCATGATAAATGCTTATTATTCATGCTAGAATTGTATTAACCGGAAACATAATACATGTGTGAATACATAGACAAACAAAGTGTCACTAGTATGCCTCTACTGGACTAGCTCGTTGATCAAAGATAGTTATGTTTCCTAGCCATAGACATGAGTTATCATTTGATTAACGGGATCACATCATTAGGAGAATGATGTGATTGACTTGACCCATTCCGTTAGCTTAGCACTTGATCGTTTAGTATGTTGATATTGCTTTCTTCATGACTTATACATGTTCCTATGACTATGAGATTATGCAACTCCCGTTTACCGGAGGAACACTTGTGTGCTACCAAACGTCACAACGTAACTGGGTGATTATAAAGGTGCTCTACAGGTGTCTCCGAAGGTACTTGTTGAGTTGGCGTATTTCGAGATTATGATTTGTCACTCCGATTGTCGGAGAGGTATCTCTGGGCACACTCGGTAATGCACATCACTATAAGCCTGGCAAGCATTGTAACTAATGAATTAGTTGCGGGGTGATGTATTACGGAACAAGTAAAGAGACTTGCTGGTAATAAGATTGAACTCGGTATTGAGATACCGACGATCGAATCTCGGGCAAGTAACATACCGATGACAAAGGGAACAACGTATGTTGTTATGCGGTTTGATCGATAAAGATCTTCGTAGAATATGTAGGAGCCAATATGAGCATCCAGGTTCCGCTATTGGTTATTGACCAGAGACGTGTCTCGGTCATGTCTACATAGTTCTCGAACCCGTAAGGTCCGCACACTTAAAGTTCGATGACGATTTGTATTATGAGTTATGTGATTTGATGTACCGAAGGTAGTTCGGAGTCCCGGATGAGATCGGGGACATGACGAGGAGTCTCGAAATGGTCGAGACATAAAGATCGATATATTGGACGACTATATTCGGACATCGGAAAGGTTCCGAGTGATTCGGGTATTTTTTGGAGTACCGGAGAGTTACAGGAATTCGTATTGGGCCTTAATGGGCCATACGGGAAAGGAGAGAAAGGCCTCAAAAGGTGGCCGCACCCCTCCCCATGGTCTGGTCCGAATTGGATTAGAGAAGGGAAGCGCCCCTTCCTTCTCCTTTTCCTTTCCCCTTTTCCTATTCCATATGGGAGGAGGAAACCTATTAGGACTAGGGAGTCCTAGTAGGACTCCACACTTCTGGCGCACCCTAGGGGCTGGCCAGCCTCCCCTCCTCCATCCTTTATAAACAGGGGCAGGGGAGCACCCTAGAACACACAAGTTGATCAGTTGATCTATTCCAGCTGTGTGCGGTGCCTCCCTCCACCATATTCCACCTTGGTTATATCGTAGCGGTGCTTAGGCGAAGCCCTGCGTCGGTAGCAACATCATCACCGTCATCACGCCGTCGTGCTGACGAAACTCTCCTGTGAAGCTTTGCTGGATCGGAGCTCGCGGGACGTCATCGAGTTAAACGTGTGCAGAACTCGGAGGTGCCGTGCGTTTGGTACTTGGATCGGTCGGATCGTGAAGACGTACGACTACATCAACCGTGTTGTGCTAACACTTCCGCATTCGGTCTACGAGGGTACGTGGACACACTCACCCCTTTTGTTGCTATGCATCATCATGATCTTGCGTGTGCGCAGGAAATTTTTTAAAATTACTACGTTCCCCAACACCGCCATCGTCCGATCTGAAAGGCCAGATCCTAGTGTTTCCCCCAAAGCAGCACGAGTGGGTCGACAACAGTTATACAACGATGCCTTCATCAAGATAACGACGCAAAACGGCGTCGTCGCCCGCCAACAACTCGGTTTTCACCGGCAACTATGTCTCTCCGACTCGTAGCCAGGACTAGATGACGAATCTCGAGATTCAACCACCCAGCCGCAGGCCGATCATCTCTGACGAAAGAGATGACCACCACCACCGACTACACTGGCCAGAATAGATCTGACCAAAGGTGCCGACGCGATCACCGAGGCCCTCCACGCCGCCGCAGCCGATCCAAAGGTAGATCGAATCACTGGCCAAGAACCAGAGTGTCGTAGCCCTCGTGACCGCAGCACCCACGACCCCTGGCCCATCTCCACTGAAGCTCCCATCGGCAGCGCCCAATGCCTAGCGCCTGGCTCAAGATCTACATGGAGCTGTATTTAACTAACTAGTAGAGGTGATTGACTTTATTGCAACCCCCACAAGAATCAGTGGTGAATGCATAGGTTGGTAGCATCAGATTGTGTTTCTTGTGTTTACTAATTTTTAATAAGAGATGTGTGGCTCAGGTGTTGGCACATTGCTGCCGGTGTTGTCTCACATTGTGCCTGTGGAGATGAGCCTTGCAAATAATGGACAAGGTGGACCTACCTGCGTGCGAAATGTACATGACCTCCACGATATTAATACTGTGGTTTATTTGTTGACCGGATAGATAAGATGATCAACATTGCTATGTGATGTATCAATCTATCTTTTAATGAACACGAGATACACGCATACGCTCACAAACATGCGTCTGTATGAATGAATGTACACACGTCTATCCCTATGAAAATATTGGAGAGGTTTGATTGATAAATTTTTGTATTGGCGAAGTCATCACAGCCCACAGGCATCTCATAGTCAGCTAGAAGGATATCTCTCACCGAACGAACATCATCAAAAAGTCTAAAAAAATTCAAAAAAAATGTGAGCAAACACACCAGGCCTAAGATTTGACCGATCTAGTTTCACCACAAGGAACCGAAACGTAAAGTGTTGTGTATGTTTTCTAATTAATAACATTAGGCATCACTTTTTTATTTTTCAAGTGAATAGTTTGGTTTTATTGACTATTCAAACAAAGTAGTCAGATACACCAAAATAAGCAGGGACAATAAAAATCCATGATAAAAGTAAAAAAGTTAAATCAAGTTTCTTCGAAGTCACCATCTCTAGTTTCACATTTTGTAACTCGAGTTTTCTGCATGCTCAATAATCTAACAAAAAAAACTAAAAGAGCACTCTAAACTACAAAATGTGGTCCCTCCACCTCTCGATGCCAAAAGGCCTGCGAGGGCAAGGAAAATCGACAGGAATCCTATCTGCCAGCGGCTAGGGTTTTCTGTCGAGCACGAACGACCTGGTCGAATGAGTTCGGTCGATCAGCCGCCACTGGTTTTATTTTATTTATTTATTTGCTTTATTGTAAACATGAATGAATTGTTAAAATTGAACTTGATATAACTGGTAGTTTTGCTGTCTTCTATACGAAAAAGGTTTAAGAATGGTGGTTTCATTATTGAAACTAGTAGGGAATTCCAAGATTTATTATGGGTTCATGGCTATGCGTGATTTGTGCGTGTTATTGCGGAATGAAATGCCTCGATGAATCAAGCTGGATGAGCCATCTGCCATCGACCTCTTGCACGCAATGCAAATGCCGGAGCCTTTAAATTTCACACAGTAGGCAGTACACCTCGGTACACCTCTGGCTATATGGCTATCCCGTCCTCCCTTTAAGGTGTGGGCCAGGTGGATCGATGGGTTCCTATATCATTCATGTGATGCTGTTGATGGAAAGAGAAAGCGTATGTACCACAGACCGATCAGCAGCTAGCAAGAAAGTGAAAATCACAGTAGCGTCACAGGTGTACGTACGTAGACGGCAACAAGTGAAAAGGAGCTCACTCACTCCCATTCAGCTCCAAGCTCCTTGCTATATATACGCACCACACGCTTGAGACAGTGCACGGCCAGAAAAAGACGAGATCAAATCAAGCCGGGGATCCAGAGAGAGTGATCGAACAGTAGTGATGGGGAGGCCGCCGTGCTGCGACAAGTTGGGCGTGAAGAAGGGTCCGTGGACGCCGGAGGAGGACATCATCCTGGTCTCCTACATCCAGGAGCACGGCCCCGGCAACTGGCGGTCTGTGCCGGTGAGCACCGGCCTCATGCGCTGCAGCAAGAGCTGCCGCCTCCGCTGGACCAACTACCTCCGCACCGGCATCAAGCGCGGCAACTTCACAAGCCACGAGGAAGGCGTCATCGTCCACCTCCAGTCACTCCTCGGCAACAGGTATACCTACCACTGATCAACTTCATATCATCAAATCAATGGGTGGCTGGGGCAGTGGCCTGGCGTCCATGGCGATCGATTTAGCTAACAGTTCCATCTCTTGCTTTGAATGTAGATGGGCGGCGATCGCGTCGTACCTGCCGCGGAGGACGGACAACGACATCAAGAACTACTGGAACACGCACCTCAAGAAGAAGCTCAGGAAGCAGCAAGCCATGGGAGCCACTTTCGCGCCGCCGGCGTCCTCCTCCCCCGGCACAGCAGGCGACAACTTCGACCACCACAACCACCACGACATGGTCTCCAGGGCCGACGGCTACGGGGCCGGCCAGGCGTACATGAACAAGGAGGTCTCGCAGCTGATCGCCGGGCGTGGTCACTCGCCGTTCGCCGACGCTGCCCCCGAGGCCTGCTCCTCGTCGTCCTACGCTTCGAGCGTGGACAACATATCCAAGCTGCTCGGCGGCTTCATGAAGAGCTCCCCGCCGCCGCCGCCGCCGCCGCCGCACAACAACTACGACGCCGACGACGTCAAGCCTCTGCTGCCCTTGGACAGTATGTCCGGCACCGGCAGCGCCGAGCTGAGCTTCACCGCCAGCGTGCAGCAGCCGGCGTTGATGGGGGGACGCGTCGGGTACGAGTACGACGACGAGACCAAGCAGAAGCAGCAGCATCAGGCGCCACTGTCCTCGATCGAGAAGTGGTTGTTCGATGAGGCCGCGGACCTGGAGCTGTCCGATGAGTGCTACTCCGTTCCAATGCTGTTCTAGCTAGCTCGCTGGGAAAGTAAATTAAGAAACGATGGCGTCACAGCCCACACACGCGCGCAAACATACTGTGTTAATTAGGTTAATTAATCTATGTTACTCCATGTTTGATACTCTACCTATGCATCCATGTTTGATAGTACACACAAGTAATGAGCCAAGCCTCAGTTGGTAATTTCCTAGCGTCCATAGCCGCATTACGCATACGCATGTACGCACCTCCTTTGTACACTGAAACGTCGAAGGGTAAGAGACAGCGACAGGGATTTAGCAGGACTGGCGAACTGTGTCATCTGCATTCCGTAGGCATGATGTAACCAAGGTTATCTATGCTCAAAAAGGGAAGAAGAGGCCTGCATATGTTTGTGTCACTTGACCTTGAACAATTAGTCTCCGATGGTGAAAAAAATTGGAGACTGGAGAGCACTCTGACCATGTTATTTCTTGTTTTATCAATCACAAGAAGCAGAACATCAGCACAGTGGGTGCTTGTTTTGTTCTTCCCGCGGAAAAGCTTTGCAGAGAAATGTGCAAACTACTACTCCCACAGAGTAATAATTAAGCAACTACAAGCTTCGGGTTAGAAGATTGTACAAAATTTCACATTTGATGGCACCTACGAATAGGGCCATCAGCATTACTGGAAATGAATTGTTAACTTGTTAGTGTTATAGGTCAAAATTGCGCATAGGCAGTACTACACGGAATGGGCATTAATACCCATGGAAATGCTTAGTAATTGCATGATCAGGACATGGGCCGTCACGTCCTTCTCCGTTACACGTCCCCTTTGAACCCCCCAGTGTAAATTCAATTTCTGCAAACTCCGATGTAGATTCAGAGCTGACAAATTAGTTCATACGAAACATCATACTTTTTTCTAAAAGGAGAATTACCCCCGGCCTCTGTATCAAGCGATACGAAACACCATCTGGATGTAATTCAAATTCATCTATCTCAAAAGTCAGGAAACAGTAATAGTATACCATCTTGTTGGTATATTACTGTGTTTAACTCATCCAAGCCAAAGATGATCATCAGACTTCAGAACATGATAAGAATCAAGTAGAGGCATAAGAATCTAGTAGGGGTATACGTCTCCATTTGATGTAGCCATCATTCACGGTACAGGATGGGGCCTAAGGCTACTGGTGCACGTGTAGTTTAAGGGTGCCAACGGAGTGCCAGGACTGGACAACCAACCAGCAGCTAGCAACCAAGTACGAAAGATCGATTCATGTTACCTCAATGGAGCACATGAACAAGCTACACTGACCCTTCCAGGAAACCTTCTTTGGCTGTACAGTAAGTCAGGTTGCAGGTGCCGGTCCCGCTAGGCTCGCAAAACACGATGAATTAGTTCACAATACACCAACAGCTTCAAACTCTCCTAACCAAGGATTCAAGATAAAATAAGGTCAATGTTCTAAACTTGGCACTAGAAGACCAGTCCCAACCTTTTCAAAGGGTCTTGTGTATATCTGTTGTTGCTGCAGTGAAACTGATGGTCAATTGAGGAAATGGGAATAATCTGAATTTCTGAATAAAATCATCCCCAGAAAAAGCGAAGCACTTGATGGGGTGATGGGTGCAACATTTTAACCATTCATCAACACGTATAGCTGTTAAACATCATCATGTCACGATGACTTGTGTCGCGTAGCTCACGTAGCTTCGACAGGAGGTAGTTAGGAGATAGTTTAGATTCTCTCTAAACCGCATGTACTTATCTCTATCTCTTATCTCTTCCTTGCTCCTCAAGATGTAATCTCTCCAAACTACTTGTATGCATATCCAGGGATAAGCCCATGTCTATATAACACGCAGGCGCGACCCCGATCAGGGTACGACGCTTCTCGCCTTTCGCACATGGTATACAGAGCCCCTTTTCTTCATCACGTCTAGTTCGCTAGGGTTTTCCTACCACCAAAGCTCGCCGCCATGTCCTCCTCTGCCGCAGCCAACTCCAACCTCTCCGGTCAAGTTACCGAGAGGCTATCCTGCACCAACTATGTTCTCTGGCGCACCCAGATAACCCCGCAGATCAGAGGAGCCGGCTTCTTCGGATACGTGGATGGAACCACACCGGAGCCGGCCAAGCACGTCGTCACCAAGGACAAGGATGGGAAAGAAGAGACGATTCCAAATCCCCTCCACTCGGTTTGGATCTGAGAAGATCAACAGGTATTGGGCTATCTATTGAACAATCTGACAAAAGAAGTACTAGTGCAAGTCACATCCATCGATCATGCACATGAGCTCTGGGCGGCACTAGCAGGGATGTTTTCCTCGCAGTCGCATTTCTAGGGTGAACAACATCCGCATCGCGCTCTCTCATGCTCACAAGGGAACGCAGTCCGTGGCGACGTACTTCGCATATATGCGGTCGCTCTCGGACGAACTTGCTGTTGCGGGCAAGCCTCTTCAAGACGGCGAGCTAGTCTCCTACATCCTCGCCGGCCTCGACATGGAGTACCAGCCCCTCGTCTCCGCCCTCGACGCGCACACACAGCCGGTCACCATCGATGAGCTCTTCTCCCAGATGAGCAACTTTGACCAACGTGTTGCGCTCTTCCAGGGGAACGGCGGCTTCAAGTCGTCGGCCAATGCTGCCACTCGCGGCCCTGGTGGTGGCGGCGGCGGCGGATCACGCTATCGCGGCCCACCGCGGAAGGGCAAAACCAGCAACGGCGGTGGCGGCGGCAACTTCAACAGCAACCCCCGCGGCCCCGGCAACAACAACGGCAGTGCGCGGCCCTCCTACACCAACTCCAAGGGCCGTCACAACTCCCCTAGGTCACGCCCTGACACTATCCGATGTCAAATCTGTGGAAAACCGGGGCACTCAGCAAAGGATTGCTGTTATCGCTTCGAAGAGGATGAAGACTCCTCCCAAGATGAGAAAGTTGTTGGCGGGGCAGAGGCCTCATATGGGGTCGACAACAACTGGTATGTTGACAGTGGTGCTACAAACCACATCACCGGCGAGTTAGAGAAGGTCACCATGAGGGAGAAATACCGCGGCCCGGAGCAAGTCCACGCCGCAAATGGAGAAGGTATGAGAATTAGTCATGTTGGTCACTCAATTATTAAAACCCCTCACCGAAAAATCCATCTTAGAAAAATATTGCATGTTCCTAGAGCTTCCATGAATCTCCTTTCAGTTCATCGCATTGCCATTGATAACCATGTCTTTCTTGAGTTTCACCCCTATTTCTTTTTGATTCGAGATCAGGTCACGAAGAAAATCCTCTATCGAGGTAGATGCGTTTGAGGGCTATATCTGTTGATTCCCGAGCTTAGGAGATTCAATAAAACAGCATGTGTTGTCACCAAGTTATCTTCAACCCGGTGGCATGATCGTCTAGGGCATGCATCTTTTTCTTTAGTAGAACAAGTGCTTAGGAAAAATAAGCTCCCATATGTTGGAGAGCGTAATGTTGAAACAGTTTGTGATTCTTGCCAAAGAGCTAAAAATCATTAGTTACCATATCCTATCTCTATGAGTGTTTCTACTAAACCATTGCAACTTATTTTCTCTGATGTTTGGGGTCCGGCCCCTTCTTCTGTAGGGAGACACACTTACTACGTAAGTTTTATCAATGACTATAGTAAATTCTCTTGGATTTATCTACTTAAAAAACGATCCGATGTTTTTCCAGTCTTTCAAAATTTCCAAGCACTCGTTGAACGTAAATTCGATAGCAAGATCATTGTTGTCCAATCCGATTGGGGAGGGGAATACAAAAAATTAAATTCCTTCTTCCAAAAACTTGGTATTTCTCACCATGTGTCATGCCCACATGCTCACCAACAGAACAAGTATGTTGAACGCAAACACCGTCATATTGTAGAGGTTGGTCTCTCTCTTTTAGCCGGCGCATCCATGCCCTTAAAATTCTGGGATGAGGCTTTCCTCACAGCCGTGCACATCATAAACATGTTACCTAGTCGTGTCATTAATAATAAAACGCCTATGGAACGTCTCCTTCATACTAAACCCGACTACACCACTCTTCGTGTGTTTGGGTGTGCCTGTTGGCCAAATCTGCGCCCATACAACAAGCGTAAGCTCATGTTTCGATCAAAATAGTGTGTCTTTATAGGGTATAGTGCTCAACACAAAGGTGTCAAATGCCTTGATGTCTCTACTGACCGAGTATATATTTCTCGTGATGTAGTCTTTGATGAAACAAAATTTCCATTTTCTGATCTACATCCTAATGCCGGCGCTCTTCTACGTCAAGAAATTCTTCTTCTCCCATCTCACCTAACCGGCGCAGACTCACGGGGAAATAATTGTGATGATACAACATTGACTAACCCTCATAACACCAGTCTAGCTGAGTTTTGTGGTGAAACAGGACAAGAAAATGGCGAAGAAATGGTGCAAAATGGTGAAGAAATCACCCTAAACAGGCAGTATTTCATGTGTCCAGCACCAGGGAGCATATCCCCCTCGGGATCATCACCGCCGCAGACTGCTGCGCAATCCTCTGCGGGATCCGTGTTGTTGCAGGAAACCTGCGCCTCGGGTTCAGCGCCAGCAGGCAGCAGCGACCGTGCGGGCGCACCAGGCGACAGCCGCGCCAGCAGCGGCGGTCCCGCATCCGCCACGCGGGCTTCTCCCGTTCGTCACGCAGCAGACACCAGGCCGCGCCAATCAGCACCGGCCACTGCGCCGCCCCTGAGCCGGTGGCCCATTGGAGTGGACTGCTGCTATGCGCTCCGTTCCACGAGCCACTCCACCGGTCGGCCTGATCCCCTCATCGGCTCGGGATCCAGCGCAGATCCTTGTCGGCCGGTGTCATCATTGCCCCCTGACGAGCCATTGGCAGGGGCCGGGTCCGAACCTTCTGTGCCGGGTCACGTGTCCTCTTCATCAGCTGAAGCCGCAGAAGATCCCGGCGCTTCATCATCTCCTGTAGACAGATCTGGTGCAGGATCCGAGGCGGTTGATGGATCTTCTGTGGATCCAGCGGCTGTACCTGCTTCACAAACAC